ATGCTTGTAATAAATTTTCTGAGAATTTCTTAGTTCATATTCTTTGCCCATTTCCCTCATCTAATTTTTGAATCTACATTTATTTACCTAGTGACATTGTTATTGCTATCACTATTACATGCTGATTATATTTAGTTTTATGCAGATACAAATAGGGCTTTCTATATTAAAATGGTCCAAAGAAGGAAAACGTCCCTTGCCTGTTGGGTCTGAGACAGTGCAGGTCCACCAGCATGGACACTGTCAGATGCCAGCTCAAAGGTGCTTGAGAAATGGAAAACTCTCATTAGAATGGAAGAAACCTCAGTCACTGCACATGCTCTCCATTAACACTCTGGCTCTGCAGGAGGCTGGCTGGGCCGCAGCCAGGAAGGCTCCTTTCTCCTCCATGAACTGCTACAAAAGCAGTGTTATCTGTGTGCTCCCCCTGCCTCTCCCTGTCTTCCCATTCCCCCTTCCCCCTCCCCTTCCCCTCCCCCTTTCTCTCTCTGGATCCCCCTGCCTCCCCATCCCCTTTCTCTCAACACCTTGGAGACTCTTATTTACCTCATAGGACTGGATGTCAGATGGTTTGGATCCTTCATTGAATATTCATAACTGATTTTTCCAAGGGAAACCCTGTGTTATTTACCTGCCTGTCAGCACCACTGAAGGACACAGTCTGCATGGCTAAGGATTTAGAGGCAAATGCTCTTTTACCCAAGGACACTACAATTCTTAATCATAAAAATAAGCATTAAATATAACTGGCTCTCTAGAACAAAAGCTCAGCTAAAAATTATTGAGCTCAGTTCTAACTCCCAATGAGGTGGGGTCTTCCCTTACCCCTATTACCTCTCTGTTTCAGGCCCAGGGACTACAGGAAGCAGTCCTTTAGTCTGGGGAGTAAAGGGAACTCTGGCATCTTTTCCAGAGGCAACATTTGTGTTATTAGCCTTGTCACCTAGAAGTGTTAGGGGAAAAGAGAAGAGAGGTGATCAGTATGGACTAACCGATGACAGACCCTTACTGACCAAAGGCAATCAATTCAGAAGGTGAGTCTGTCCAAAGACTGGCTAATCAGCTTACTGAGGTAAGAAACACTCAAGAAAGAATATATGAAGTATGACTGTAATATAGAACAATTGCATTGCTATTGGATTTTTCTTTCTGTCAAACAGACTAGATCTTCCTGCAGCTCAGGAGTCACCTTGGAAACGTGTGTGATAATGTCATGTGTGGAAATTGCTTCTTGAAGTTGCTGCTAGAGCTAGCTTACACACTCTCCAGATGGCAGCATATTAATTAATATTGTACCAGATTTGTGTCCGTGATCAGCTCTGCCTTGTTTAATCAAACTCCTTTACCAGATTTTTTTTAAAAAAAAATCAAATCCATGCACAAAGAATCTGTTAGGCACAAAGGGATAAAGGACCATGTCCCGCCAGTTCTGTAGACAACTGGCACTATAACTAGTAACCATAACTAGGGAAAAAAAATCACAGGAAATCATTTTGCAAAACTATCACTTGTTCAGCAGCATAGATTTTGGTACATGTAGTTGCATTTTATCTTATGTATCTATGCAGGCATGTAGATGTGGTAAGTGTGCATGTGTGCCAGTACACATGTGTAGGCTACAGGTCAACCTCTGGGATCATTTCTCAGCATCTGACCACCTTGTTCTTTTAGACAAGGTCTCTCACTGAGACTCAGGGCTCACCAACTAGGTTATCTTGGCTGGCCAGCAGACCTGGGATCCTGCTGTCTCTACTTGTTCAATTCTGGGATTACAAGCACACACTACCATGCCCAGTTATTTATATAGCTGCTGAAAACCAAATGTAGGTCCTACGCTTACACAGCAAGCATCTTACTGACTGAGCTACCTTCGCAGACCATGCTAAGTTTATTTTGTACTGAGCAGTTAAACCTGACAAACTCCCACATTGGAGCATGCATACACATTTCTTCCACCAACCCAAGACTCCATCACCCTAGTTCATCCTGAAGTTTTCTATAAGATATTCTGCTGTGGCCATTTTCCAGTGGGCCCTCTGCTTTCCTTATCTCAACCCCAACCTCAGTGTTCCACCTCTGACTGGTTCTCACTACCCACTCCCCCCATTTGTGCCTTGATCCTGACCTGGCCAGTTCCCAAGCAGAAGCTGAGTCAGATGAGGAAATCGAGCCAGAGTGACAGGCAGTGATAAGAAGGCAGAAAGAATCTGCAAGGCCTGTTCATCCTGAAGACATTGCCCTGCCCCCAACATGTCCGCACAGAGCTATTCAGGGTTCCATCTGCCTGGTTAATATGAGACAAAGTCAGTAGTAACTTAGTGAGCTTGGGTCTTAGCTGCCCTGAGAGTTTGCCCAACAGCAGAGAGCACAGCTGTAACAAGCTAGTCTGGCGAGGTTAAATTATTTGTTCAACATGGGAATCATTAGTGCCTCATTCATTATGAAATGAGAAAACAGTGTGGTTGGATTCCCCAAAGGGTCAGCTGCCAGATGAAACCTCAGGACTGAAATCACTATAGTCGTATGTTATTTCTTTAGGGATATAAAATATAAATTGAATAAAAGTCCTTTCAGGGAAAAAGGGAGCTACATGCACTGAGAAAGTTGGCCTCTGCTGAATAAATTACTACAGAACTTTCTCAATTTAAAGGGTGGAAGGGGAGGAGGAGAGGAAAATGTCTTGCAAACTGAACCAAAGCTAAATGAAAGACATTAGCAAATCAGTAATTCTAAGACCAAATGGGTCTACAGATTAAGGAGCGTATAACAGCCTCTCCTGATACTCCTGAATCCGCCACAGGGACAGAAAACTAGGATTCTGTGCCACATGAAGGTGACATGAAACCAAATTTATCAAATAACACTGGTCCCATATGGGTGACCCTCGTGATGTAGAATTAAGAGCTTCCCTTTCAAAGCTAAGGGAGATGGAACATGAACTTGAGACCAACTTAACTTGTTCTCAGCTACTCCACTCACCCACTCTCCTGCCTTTGCCCCTCTCTGTGATATAACTTCTTAAAGTATGGATGTATGTACAAATTTGCTTGTGCAAGGACCTGCAGAAGATAAAAGAGGGTGTTGGATCCCTGGGAACTGAAATTACAGGCAGTTCTGAGTGGCCTGTTGTGGATGCTGAAAACTGAACTCAGGTCCTCTGGAACGGTGTTCTGACCCGCTGAGCCAGGTCTGCTACCTCTGGGACATCTTTTAATACAAGTTGGACATTCCTTATCCAAATTGCCTGAGCCCAGAAGTGTTGCAGATTTTTAATTTGGAGGGGAGATTTTTGGTCTATTTGACCAAATCCTACACATGAACTTTGTTTCTGCTTCATACATGCCTTAGACATATTTTGGTGTATCTGCATTTTGACAGTGGCTCATCACATTAGGTCAGACTGTGGCATCATACGGCATTGTGTTAGCACTTGGAACATTTTGGACTTTAGACTTTCGGATAAAGGAATGCTCACCCTGAATGATGGTGAATGGTGATAATAATATTCCTTGGGATCATTAGGTGTTGTTGCCATACAATTCTTTATTTTACACATTGATTCCGTCTACCATTTTCCAAAGACCAAATTTCAGCTGTGAGGGTAACCATCCAGGTATGTGCTGGTTCTTAGCTGTGGTCTGTGCCAACACCCCACAATGCATGCTTGTTTGGACCACAGCCCAGAACACCATCAGGTTGTCAAAAGAAAGATCTGTTCCTGAGAACCCAAGAAATGTGCATAAAATCTACCTATGCTGGGAGCACAGGCATACATGCTGGGGACACAGACACATGTGCTGGGGACACAGACACATGTGCTGGGGACACAGACACACGTGCTGGGGGCACAGACACACATGCTTTCTCATACATCATACTTCTTTCCTGGAGAAATTCACCCAGAGAACAGGGATGCCATAAAACTGAGAGCAACACAGACCTTGCCTATGATACAGCACAGTTCTTTCTTCACCATGGTGCATTTCACAGCTGGTAAATATATGCCCTGGCTCTTACCTTTGTGTTGCATTGGAACATTAGTGTTTCCCCTTACTACTGCAGACAAAGGCAAACCCTTAATACAGGCCTTTTGCCTAGTTTGTTGACAATGGCATTTCCTCCAGATTTTAATCTCTTCAAACAAAAACTAGGAGAAGGAAAAGCAAATTGGCCTGCATACAATCTATGCCGAGGCATACAAGCAGTGTTCAAGTTCATTCCAGGGATCTGTCTATTTGGTGAGATGTTCTGAACATACAAGATTCTAGAACTGAAAGCATTCACACCTTTAAATCTGATGAAATGTTAAAAGGACAGAAGAATGAAAAAGAAAGTCTCTTAGACCAGAAGAAATGGAGATTAGATGTGACATGATTCACATATTTGGCCCCAACTTTTAAAACTATAAAATATGAAGTTGTAGTAACCCCTTCTATGACTTTTCATGGGGATATTTCAATATCCTACCTGCCTACTCAGAGAAGCCTCTAATTAGAAACTGACATGTCCCTTACATCTGTTTTCTGTTTCCCCACTCTTATTGTAATCATAATTGTGTATAAGAAAACTAGTGTTGTTTTGCAATATTTAAATATATGTATATATGTGCCCTTAGTATATATACTTTGTGCTATATAGAGCATATAAATTCTTAAAGGATATTATATATGTGGCTATCTAGACTTTAAACCAGCTTTCTTTTCTTACAATTAAAAAAAAAAAAAACAAGATATCCAATGTACTGAGTTTGTCTATAATGCCAAGTCTGACAAGGTAGACAGGAAATCAAACTTTTAAAGCAAGATAAAATATTTTGATCAAGAATCATTGCCAAACAACAATTTCTTTTATTGAATTTCATATGCAGATAAATTACTGATCACATAAATGTGTATGAGCAAAACAAAGAAACTCTGCTCCATTCATCGTGGCTGCCAGTCTAGCACATTGGTCGTCAAGCGTCCGTGAACAGCTGGCTTTTGAATACAGTAGTTATTTACCTGACAAAATCAGGAGTTCAATGATCTCCGCATCTCCCAGGAACGCAGCAACATGAAGCGGGGTTCGTTTCTCAGAATCCTAAGATAAATAATAATAAACAGCATACATCAGTCAGTGGAGGCTGGATGTTAAGATGGTCATCATTCACTCTGAGCTCATGCTAGTAGAGTAAGGTTGAAGGTAAGTTTAACAAAAACCCCAGCACCAGTCATAAGAAACCTCTCTGCCAGTGGTTGGTTAGATAATACAAATGGCTCCCCAAAACAATACAGATATTGCTGATGCCCTTAGAGTCCTCTCAAAGGATTAAAGTATGTCCCTATTGCTAAAGACACTGCACACTTAGGACACTTTAGGACACAAGACACATATTCGAGCTGGATCTCAGCTGAAAGTCTCCTTCCTGCAGTCTATCTTCTATAGTAACAAAAAGTACTGTGTGCACTGTCAAGGGAGATTAACATGCCAGTCCACCCAGCTGTGACACCAATGACCCATAACAAAGACCAATATAGCAAGATATCCCTAGAGGTGCAACAGTGGGGCTCACCTATAGGTGGTAACCACCAGCTGTCTAAATGGACTTAAGGCCAATCAACAAGAGAGATCATGTCTCGTATTAGAAACTTAGTGAACCTTCCCCAGGGCTAATGAGTTCATGGATCTTAGAACAGAATCTACTTCTGCCACTACCATTCTAGAATCTAGCTAGCATCGTTTTGCAGGTACATTCTAGATCTTATCCTTATGTACACAGATAAGGGTGGCTATCTGTGTATATAAGGTATATAAGGCATATCTGTGTGTATCAAAGAAGCTTCCCTCTACAGTAAATCGACCCTGAATACAATGCAAAGATCTTCAATGGATTTCGAGGAGCCCAGCCCCAATGGACTCAACTGTAGCAAGGCTTCTGCACCTATGACTCAGAACAACACAGGAAAGGGGGACAGAAAGACTGATTGCATCACCCCAGCTTCAAAAATGAAGCTGTGGTGTTTAAAAATGGGTGCACTAAAGTGAGAGTCAGATATACTAATTTCAGCAATGAACTTTAAAAATCCTCCAAGGTAGAGATTGCCTGGATGTAAATAACAGGTCTTATTCCTCCTTGTCCTGACACTGGCAACAGTTGAGACACTCGGGGTCAGCTTGAACTGAACCAGCCCATAAGCATGGCCACTTCCATGACCTCCGCCATTGCCTGAGATTCCTGGGACTCACCCTTGATTCGATCACTCCTGTCACTGTTTTATTAGACAATCGACCTAACAACCTTTTATTAGCCCAAGGATAATATTCTCACGAGTTATTTTCTCACAGTCCAGACCCTTCCTTTCCCTCTGTCTCTTTTAGACTATTGCTTTGTGCATGTCATGTCAGAAACAGACAGCAGACGGGACAAGACAGGGCCTGATCTTCAAACCACTTAAGCCATTGGGAGACCTAGTAAGTGGTTTTATAGACTGACATTAACTAAACAAAACGAGCAACCTGAATTATATGGGAACTTACGCCATGCATGTAAGTGCAGGCAACGGCACTGATAACTAAGAACAAAACAGTCTGCAGCTAAAAAGCCATCAGTCGATTATGTGACCATGGTGAACCGTGAATTATTGCCCTAGCCTTGACAACAAAGGCTAATTGTTTGAAAATCTATATGCTAATATAAGAATCAAGTATATGCTTTTAGCTAGTAAACTACAAAACAATCTAAGACACAAATATCTTCTTTCTTCATTGGTTTTTCCATCCTCCTACAAACAGTCATCTTAACTTCCTACTTTCTCAAAACTCCTCACTACTGCGCCTGCTTAAATTTTTCTCAGGTATTAGGGCAAAAGTTATATAATTGTGTGCTCTTTTGTGAATGGAATTAGGTCTAGGGCTTGGTTGAACAAATTCAACCTTGCCCAAGTGATTTAAACAATGATAATCCTAGCTCAAATTATGACTTCATCTGACCTGAAGCGAAGTTACTGCTCTGTTTGAGAACTTGGACTCCAATAAAAAGAAAATAAATTCCAGCTTCTCTCCCCACCTTGCAAATTTGGTTGGTCTATCATTATATGGCTGGGTTTGCTGACTCTGAGGTCCTTTATATGACACAGCTTATTCAAACTTAAGTTTCAGTAATAGTAAGAAAGTATGTGGTATGAGATCGAATTGTAAAAATTCTTAATATGAATCCAAGTATTGCTTTAATACACATTCAAAGATTTCCAGTAGCTTACATAAGAACTACTTCAATTGCAAAAGAACTACTATCCCCCTTCAGTGACATGGTAGACATGTCACTGCAATGGAGACCTGTTCACCAAAGCAAAGAACAGAATCCTGTGCTAGAAATATCTTAGCCAAAAACAGTAGTACATCTTCACTGCTAATCCAGGTTGCTAACATCTGCTCTCCAGCAAGGAATGAGCAGTATAGAAAGACCATGAGCCAAGGCTGAAAGACAGAGTCACAGTACCATTGTGCTCAACAAGCTGAAACTCAGAGGTCACTGGACATCACTCTATCCTAAGTCAAACCACTGGTGTCAGCAATGTAAAAATAGGAGCCAAGGATTGGTCTCAGGAAAGAGATATCAGTTATCTGCTGCTGGGAATGAGTTCTAGGCTATCACTACCCCAGAGTGTTTGGAAGACACATGCCTGTTTGGTAATTATAGCACTCTTTCATTTTACCTTTTCCAAACTGCTTGGTTGTAAAACATCCCTACTGGCAGAGACACACAACTGTGCTCTCAAATTTTATTATTGTCATTTCAAAGAAAAAGAAGCTGAGCCCTGCACAGATTATAGATTCTCCAAACACAGCAAATTGATGTGAGAGAATTAAGTGTCATGATCCCAATGTGAAATATTTTTCTTAATAAAAATGAAAGCAAGGACATCATCTTAGAATTTCCCTTGACAGTCTAAAATCCTTTTGTTCTAAGTTTGCTTTCTGTTGCTATGATAAACACCATTACCAAGAGCAACTTGGAGGAGAAAGGAGTTTATTTGGCTTATACTTCCAGGTCACAATCCATCACTGAGGGAAGTCAGATCAGGAACTCAAGCAGACATCATGAAGTAATGTTACTTACTGTCTCATACTTGGCTAACTTTGATTTTGGGGAGGTGAGGGAGTGGTTTTTTTGAGACACTGTTTCTCAGTGAAGCCCTGGCTTTCCTAGAACTCACTCTGTAGACCATGCTGGCCTTGAACTCACAGAGATTAACCTGCCTCTGCCTTCCTAGTGCTGGGATTAAAGGAATGTACCACCACTCAACTTCATTAAACTTACAAGAAAGTTTAATATCTACATGCCTAAGGATGGTACTGCCCATGGTTGGCTTGGCCCTTGCACAATGATCAAGACACTCTCTCATAGGCATGGCCAAGGCCAATATGATTGAGGCAAATCTCAATTGTTCTGTTCTCAGATGAAGTAGGTTGTATTGAGTTGACAATAAAAACTTACCAGGATAGTTTTCCTCTAGAGTCCTCCTAAAACCCCAAGTGTGTGTGTGGGGGGCAGGGGGATATAATGAGCACAGTAAACATCCTTACAATGGAGCTTACAAGAAACTGAATAGAAAAAGAAAATAGAAATCGACTTGGGAAGCGAAGCTAGAAGCAGAAGGTGCTTATACAGCAGGCATGTTGATGCACCAGGTCCTAAAACCCAGGCCTGGATAGGGGAGATAGAATGCAGAGCTAGAACTGAGACCTTTACAGAAGAACTGGCCTCTCAAGTGAAAGTGTGGGTTGAAGAAAACTCAAGTATTCATATAGGCAGGTAACAGGGGGCACCTTGTCCTGGGCTCCTGGTGAGGGGGTGAAACTCTCCACTGTGCATCTGTATCCCCAGGATTTCCCCTCTGTGGTTTAGAATTTTGAATATATTATACCTGTGTGTGGTGGTTTGAATAGGTTTGCCCCCCATAGATTCCTGTGTTTGAATGCTTGGCCCATGGGGAATGTCACTCTTAGGAGATATGGCCTTGTTGAAGGAAACATGTCTCTATGGAGGTGGACTTTGAGGTGTCCCCTTATGCTCAGGCTCTACCCAGTTCAGATGACAGTCTCCTCCTGGCTGCCTTTAGATCAAGATGAAGGACTCTCAGCTCCAGCACCATGTCTGTCTGCATGCTGCCATGCTCTCCACCATAATGATAATGGACTGTACCTCTGAAACTGTAAGCCAGCCCGAACTAAATATTTGTCTTTATAAGAGTTGCCTTGATCATGGTATCTCTTTACAGCAATAAAACTCTAAGACACTTTGTAATAGAGAAGCTTTCAAATTGAAAATAGGTTTAAAAATTAGTCCTAGATCAAGCATCCCTTTGTTGCTATAAAGAAAACCAAAACCTTGCTGGAATGATATGCTCCCTCTTTGGACAATCTGTGACACCACAGGTGAAATCTCCACTGAAGAGGAACTTCTTTCTAAGCCTAAGAAAGAAAACCTTTATGGAAACAATTCACCACAAGCAAAAGATGACAGACAAAGCCAGCCAGAACTTAAAGTAACAAGGAAACCAGACAAAAATTAGGTATAACGTCTGAACTTCAGATATAAAAGACAAAGACTAAAGTAAGGAAAAACTATTGTTTTTAAAAGAACAAAGTGTGGAAGCCAGGTATGGCGGTACATGGTTGTTGTACCAACGTGTGGGAGATGGAGGATCATTTTACCCCAGGACTTCAAGATCAGCCTTGGTAACATAGCAAAGCTGTATGTTTTTTTTTTTAAAGAAAAAAATAATAAATATGTATGAATGAAGCAGTATGGGAAGCAGTACCATTATGATACAATCTAAAATTTTTGTCTAAGAATACTGAAACTACAGGAGAAAGAAAAAAAAGAATCTTCGAAGAAGTGGGGGGAAAGCACAGCCACTCCGATGTGCAAACAGTCAGTCGTCTTTCCTGCACACAAACATCTGCTTAGAAGCTATCGGATGCAGTATGCTGTAAACAACATTAAGAGTTCAAAATTAAACAAAGCCAGTTCTCTCTCAGAATCGTGTGGTCTAGTTTCCACCTTCCTAGAGCAGAACAGTACTAAAGGTAACAAC